AAATAGTAAAGAGTACAGAGCCCAAGATTGAACCTTGGGGCAAGTGATTTCAGTATGATAAGAAATCATTTATTCGTAAGTATGATTTTCAAGCCAGCTATGAATCCACTTCATTGTCATGCTACCAACTCACACGTATCTAATTTGCTAATCAGAATGTCATGGGGGACTTTGTCAAGCTGTTGTATCCAAGCCAAATTTCTTTACTATATACTTGCTATAAAATAATAAATGTACTTTAACTTGTAAAAAAAAACAATCACACACACACACTGGAATGGTATGAATTAATGCTGTCTGACTGCTGAGATTCCAGATTTATATTCACAGAAGGTTAGAATACAAATGTTTCACTAAAATCAAGATCTATTATGTTACAGCATTTCAACAAACAGTTAACTCAATCAAAAAAATCGGTTAAGATGAATCTTGCAAGATGAGTTACCTGCAAATGCATTCTGACTTTTGATAATCACTACATAGGTTTCAAAGTGCTTACATATCAATCACTTTAGGATCTGTTGTGGAATCTTTCCAGGTATCATTATCAGACTATTGACCCTCAGTTCCCACAGTCCACTTTTCCCCTCTTTTTGACAATAGGAACAATCTCTCCTCTGGTCATCAAGCACTTCATCTGTTCTCCAGGTTTTCTCAAGATCATCAGCAAGTTCCTTTGGTACCCTAGGATGCAATTCATCTGGCCCTGAAGTTTTAACTCATTCAAAACAAATATTCCCTGACTATAGTTTGATCAATCTCATGCTTCACTTACGCCTCTACATCCTGCCCTTCCCAATTGCCTGATGAAACACCCTCTCTTCAGAAATAAGAGTTAAGTAATGCCTCTTTCTTGTTATCTGTTTCTGACACCATTCCTACAGTTCTGGTTTATCTCCATGTATTCTTCCCTGGTGATCTGTCCCTATTCCTCTTTCTGTCTCCTATAAGTGCCCTTTTCAGTTTTCAGATTTTTGGTAGGAATTTTGTATAGCCTCGTGGGCTTCTGTTGCTATCTTCCAAATTTTTTCGCATTGAAATTGTTTGCATTTGTGCTCTTATTATCTCCAGTTTTCTTGAGCAACTTTTCCCAGTAGCTTTCCTATTTCCCAGGTATATGTTCATGTATATTCGGGTTTATTTTCCCTTAACATTAAGAACTCCAGCATTACATGGCCAAGAATTCTAGCATTATGTTACAATGTTCTTGCTACTTCTACTTCCTTGATTAAATCTTCCCTACTGGTTAGTATCAAGTCAAGCATAACTAATCCTCTTGTGCCTTCCTATACTCTGAAGGTGAAAGTTGTCAGGAAGACAAGTCAGGAATTTCCTGAAACAGCCATGCTTGGCAGAGTTTGTCTTCCAACAAAGGTCTCCATACATGCCTCTCAGAAAGATCTGCAATGGACTTCTAGAGAGCATAACCACATCTTCTCCTTGGTTGGGTGGACAATAGCAGATACCCACAAATAAAAGTATTTATTTTTACTTATTTTAACTAAGATAATCTCTGCAGCATTACCCATTCCCCTGGATTTCTGAGCAGGAAATAATCTCTATTTCAATTGCTTCTCTACCTTTTGATCAAACTGTATAATTGCTATATTCCAATCATGAGATTCATTTCACCAGTCTATAATCTACTTTAACTGCTCTGGAAGATCAAAAGCAGCAAGATTTTCTCTTAACACTCCCTCAAGTACTGAATTAAGATGGCTAGATGCCAAAGAGATGCCACTGAAAAACAAGCAGGAGGAATCAGTATGTTCAAGGAAATTCCAAGATTTGCAGAAGTTAAAAAAAAAAAAGGGGGGGGGGAGAAGTCACCATCTCTTTTTTCCCAGGCTCTAATATGTCCAACATCAACAGGGTGAAAAATGTGTATGTGTGTGGAAGTGAGAGGTTGGAGGGTGGTGAATGAGAAGATTAATAGACTTCTGGAACCCTGAGTAGAATGGCATTTTAAAAATACAGATTCTGCCTCCGATGTTCTCAGCTTTCTGGAAAGCCTTGCACCATTCTGAAAGCAGACATATTCTACTCACATTCGGTGGGACTCTAGCATTTAGTCAGCTTCTCTGAAAGTTGTGTCTATGTTTTACTTCTGATGAGTATCCACGGCATGAAGATTGGGCTAGAAGCATAGCTGGGAATGAGTAGGCTTGCATATAAGAATTAATTCTACTCACACAAAACTAAATTGATTTGGAAAACCTCCAGCTCATTGTTTTGCCCCATGCTGTTTGCTCTTGACTGACAGTGTCAGGCAGAGAGCTTCTTTATCATTTGATACTTAAAAAGTTGAAGGTACTGGGAACTGAACCTGGGGCCTTCTGCATGGACAACAGAGCAAAAGAGGTATCTACAAAAGAGATATCTACTAGTTTTATCTGAGCTTTTTTCAAGATACATATATGGCTCTCCCAATGCTTCATGGAGAAAATCTATCTATGTAGTCGCTAGGAGTCAAAAATGACTTGATGCCACATAATCAGTTAATCAGTGCTTGTTATATCCTCATAGCAGTCTTGTGAAATAGGTTAAGCTGAAAGTAACTGATTGTAAAAACAGTTTGGACTTTCCTGAATGTGTTCAAGCAGGGGCTGGATAGCCATATATTAGGGATGCTTTAACATGGATTCCTGAAGGGAGCACAGGATTGGACTTGATGACCTGACCACTGTCTTCCAGTTCCAAAATTCTCTGATTCTATGCTTTCTGACTGAATGTGAACTAAAGCCAGGACTCCCAGTTCTAGTTGGACAATTTGAGTCTACAAAACCCTCAAATCTGTGTGAAATGTTGCCTGGAAAAATAAACCAGATGAGGAGAGAATAGATCAGAGTCCTACAGGTGTTTGCTGAAAAGCAGCCAGTATCTTATAATACCACTTTCTTCTCTAAGAAAATTGAGAGGAAGCATGTCTGCTGAAATTTAATCCATCTTCTCCCCATCTGCTCCTCTAAAATGTGAAGCTTCAAATGCAACTTTAAATGGAAAAACTTCATAACTATAAGAGTCAGTCATTCTATCTGAACTCCACATAAGGCTCCCATCCCATGAGTGCTGCAGACCAGATGTCTAGGTGAAATATAGGTGAAAATTGAAGGTAGAAGGAACATGCACATATGAAGGCATTATGGCTAGGGCAGTATTGTCCAAACTTGGCCACTTTAAGATGAGTGGATTTCAACTCCCAGAATTCCCCAG